GAAACAGCACAGAAAGATTCGGCAATTAGTTCAGCAAGCTCAGGACCTCTTTTGAACTCACCATCATGGAAGATGCTCGAAAAGGTTCCGATTTAGATAGACCAGAAATAGACTTGATGTTATCGTACCATTTTTTTGGGTTAGATTCACTGGTATTAAGGATTTTCTTATCGTAGTAGGACTGACGAGCAGATTTACATAGTTTTCTAACTTTGTTACGATAAACGTTATACATGATAGTGTTGCTGGTTAACCAAGCTTTCTGCCTTTTGGAAATGAATTTTTTTATATCTGCAGTGATCCATGGTTTATCTTTAGGGTAACACTTTATGGTGCGCAGAGGGAGGTGACTATCGATAACAGAGGATAGTTTGTTCGAGAATAGGTTGAATTGATCATCTAGAGCAGTTACGTGGTAAAGTGGGGTCCAGTTGATTTGGGATAAGGTGGTGATTAGGGCTTGTTTGTTTGCGGGTCGACAGTCTCTTTTAGTAATGTAGGAGGGGGTATAAGACTTGAGTGACTTCGGACTTTGTTTAGTCGGGTTGAGGAAAACAGTTTATTATTGAAAACTATACTTCACCCACCCCACCTCGACTTGGTGACGCTTGATTGCATTTTCATTTCTGGCTTAGATTTTATTGATAATTTATTAATATAGTTGTATTTTTAGTTACAAAAATCCTTGGATTCTTACGTTTTTGAGCCGCCACCAGCGATTTTAAATGGCGCCGCGATAAAACGACTTTACGTTTCGAATATTTCTGATCAAAATAAGGGTATGATTAAAAGTTTTCGTAATGTTTAAGGCTGTACTCACTAATCTGTTCGACTCCATATACATAGGAACTGTATTAATGCGCAAACAATGACCAGTATCCATAGTAAAGCAATGACATCTGATTTCGTCAGTACATGTACGATCTGATGTTGACAAACTTTGAGCCAAAGAAGCCAGCTCATTTCTTTCAATATAATTAAAAATATCTAAAACGCAGTTATGTGGTTAGTTACAAGTCAACATAAAAGATTAGTGTAGGAAACAAGTGAATTTTCACGACTTTGGCTAACAGTATGGTGTATTTGTTTATGAGAGACTGCCAAAAAACCCAAGCGAGTTGCCACACCAACGGTATTTTTTGTATTTTTAAGGTAATAATTTTACCATTCTGGTTTCATCCTGTTACAACACTGGACAAACAATGAAGGATGGCCCTTTTAGACCTCAAGATTTCAAGGAGACATCCTAGACATCCTTAGACCAAAGTTTCAAGGAGACATCCTATTCATAAGCCCTATGGTTTCTGGGTGACTCCTTGCCACTGACATCATGAATCAATAACTATATTTACTATCTTTGTACTCTATACATAGTTATTTTTGTTCTTGAATGATATGTGTGTTGGTGGCGAATTAAATTATTATTATTATATCCAGCTGTATAAATAAAGTAAGTTGGTTCATTGGAAGAAAATGCGACACATGCAATACTGTTTTGTCTTAAACGACAGTACTGTATGAATCATGCTTATCTTAAATAATTCCGTTTCATCATCATCAGGATAGGAAGCCTTATTATATACCAAGAGTCACAGTTCATCTTGCATCTCATTGGACAAGCGCATATCACGTGATAGTCATGAAATTCGTCTCCTGGCAACATTCTGAGCGGCGTACATTACTTTAATCATCGAGTTATAAAACAAATGGTAGTTTTCAGTTTCTTTTTGTTTTGGTGTTTTCCTTGACACTTGGTATAATTATAAAAAAATACTTACTGACTGGGACTTTCGAGAAACGATATGTTATATAAGGAGCCTCGACTGCAATGTTCCCCTCGACTTTGCCTGGAAAACATTGGCAGGCTCGGGTGCACAAAACATATTATTTGCCGAAAGTTGCAGTCAATAATCATCCCATTATACTGTATGTAAATAACTAATACGTTTGCTTCGCACACAATTGATGTTTACACCCGTAAAAACGCGCCAAGTTGTTAGAGATCTGCAAACAAGTTGAAATGAGGTTGTTGTCAAGCCGATATCAGGATGTGTACTTATTCCCAGTTGTTGTGAGAAGCCTGGAACAGGTGTTGTTATCACCTTGTTACAAGGTTGATGACGCCAACAGATTTGACACAAGTTGTTCCAACAAGAACAATTTAGAATTTTTGTGACAAGTCATCATCAACTTGTTAACAACTTGTTATACCTATACCTCATATCAGACTTGTTGGAACAACGACTTGTTGCATGGGAGTCTGTTGGTCTCATCAACCTTGTTACAAAATGATAACAACTTGTTCCAGACTTGTCACCAACTGGGAACAAGCAGTGCGAACACATCATGATGACAAACTGAGAGAGTTTCACGCGCGTAACACTCAATCACACTCATGTCACTTGGGAGAACAGTATTTTACTGATTGTGACTCCTGTATAAATAAAGCTTCTATTCTATTCTATCCCCGGTCACATGCTTTAGAAAAGAAAAAATATCTCAACAACCAAACATGGAAGTAAAAAATATATAGAAGAAATTACTCCACAGTTTTAAGACATTAAAAAAAAACAGTTTCGTGTCATATCCACGCTAAAGGTTTTGCCATGCATGTAGTAATACTTGATCAAGGGACTCGCCCTTACTGGACTTAGACAAAACTGATATTTACTTCAAATAAAACATATTTCGTCAAGTTACGAGAAATTTATCCATCTTGGGGATATATCGACAGGATTGTATTCAACGATAAAATGATAAAGTATATTTACCGTTCTTGCTGTCCTCCGCCACTGTTTCTTTTGACATTTCTTGCTCTTCGACACGTTTAATTTTTCTTCTATATTGTTTCTTTATAAGGTATGGAATAAGTTCTCCTTTTATTGAATTAAATGATCTAAACATAAATAATTTATTATATTATTATATTTATATCTACCGTCGGCGCGTTGAGATGTAGAAGAGTGATAGTAAAATACTAGGCTTGCCCGATTTTAGGAACCGCCTGCCATGCAGGCTAGTGAAATACCAGTTAGCTATGAGCATTATTTGACAGTATTATTCCTTTGATTGTCTATGGCTGGCGTTTGTTGGAGGGCAGCTGCAGGCCGGTGAACCGAGGCGGGTTCGCTGCTCGTACCCGTTAAGCTCTATATATATCTGGAGCAAAAACTTCAGTCATTCGGCCTCTGAGAAAAGTGAAGGTAAGATGGTAGAAATTTGTGTCCAGTACCTAAAGACTGGTTCACACTGTCAAAATTTCTGTGATCTCAGTAGCAATTTTGCATAAGTACATTCTAACTTTTGAAGGATTTGTAACTAGATATGTTTGAAGAAACTGACTCAGTGTTAAAGCCTAAGTCAGTTTATTTATTTATTTTAGTTATTTAGAAACGTTCATCAAGTTAATTATATATACAACATAAAGTATGTATATATGAAAAACATAACCACAAAAATTTTGAATAATTTGATGAGCGGCTAACGAACAGACTCGAAGCGAGGTTAACCCCTGGCAAACATAAAAATACAACTTGAAAGTTAAAGGAATGAACAAAAATATTTAAAAAGTGAAAATTGAATGAACCTCCACACGGCGAAGACTACCTGCAGCATTAAACAGAACAAGCGTGAACAGATTTACTGAACCGTAAAATAATTAAACACTCCCCGCACAGGATCCCAGCCGGGATTCCGGGAAAGGGCTAATTAGCCTAGCAACAATTTATCTCACTAATGGCCAATGTGGACATAGCAGTGACGGTGCAGAAAACCAAGCATGCGGTTGGCTTTGGCTATACAAGTGCTATATGAAAACTCCACAATAGTATATTTGTGCCTGAGGTCTTTATGGATGGTTATACCACCGAAAGAGCTCATCCACCAAATACATACGGAGCGACACCCAGGGCCGTGGCTAAACTGTTGCGTTTTCAAGATATCTTCATTAGTTCTCACTTTTTCACATTACATGCATGACAAACCAGGTTTCAGTCCACTTGTTCAGACTATTTAGATCTTCCTGTAGAATAATGCAATAATTAAAGCTTGTTAAGATCCACGAGCGTTTTGCATCGTCGGCAAATAAAGAGAACTTGGTATCCGCGCTGACAGCGTCTGGCAGGTCGTTGACATAAAGTACGAACAGGAACGGTCCCAGCAAACTTCCCTGCATGGGCAACACCAGATGTCACAGGAAACCAAGTTGAATAAGCGCCGTCAAGGAGAACACACTAGGTTCCACATATCAGATAATCTGAGAACCAATCATACAAAGATCCACAAATTCCGAATAACGATCATTTATGTAGTAGCCTTTGGTGAGGCACCGAGTCAAATGCTTTACTAAAATCTAGGTACATCATATCTGTTTCTTTTCCAGCGTCGAGAGCAGTTCCCAGTTCATGTATAACCAAAGTAGCTATGTTATACAAGATCGTCCCTTTAGAAAGCCATGCTGTGAAGTTAAGAACTCTGTGAGTTCTGGTAATAAATGATTCAGTAAACTTTGTTCACATACATTACTAACGATCGATAGAAGTGAAATTTATCTGTAGTTTGAGATGTCAGATTTCACACTCTTTTTAAACACAAATAAGATGTTAGCCACTTCCAGTCTGAAGGTAACTTGCCTAAATGCAATGACTGATTGAAAAGTAGGCACAAGGATGTGGCGACCTCGTTGGCAAACTTTAGCTGATAAGATCCTTGGATAGAGATTGTCTGGACCGGATGTCTTTCTGGGATATAGGTTCTGTAGGGCATAGAGGACAACGTGTCAGCAGCAGTGCATGCACTCAATAGATGATAAAATTTTGTTTGTAAAAGTCGTGGTTGGTAAGTCACAAGACAATGCAGTGTTATGGTTGAAGACAGACGTGAAGTTTTTGTTGAATGCCTCTGCATGCTTTCATTTGTGCGGTAGAGAACGAAGTGCGTGTTCGATTTGTGAGAACGAAGAGTTGTCATGTTCGACGGTGTCCGGCACAGAGGAACGTTTAGTCAAGCGGTTGAAATTATCACTCGGATGTGAGAAACAGTTCTCTGAAATGGTTTTCAGGTTGGCCACGCGCTTAGCTCTAACTGCATACTTAAATTCTCTGCACAGTTGACGAAATTTCTGTCAAAGGAAATTGCTGTTCTTCAATACCATCCAACCATGGAGGCGTGACAAATTTTCGTGGTTTGCGTGTTGGTATAAATGTGTTGATCAGTGACATAAATCTGTTTTCCACGCCATCCACTTGTCATCGTTATCCAGAAATATTGTGGATTCAAGGGGATTAAGAGCGGTTGTCTGTAATAGTCAGGTAAGACGTGTAAAATGAGAAAATTCAAAATCCTTCAAACTTTGTCAGAATATAGGCCTATATGAAGTATTAATGTTGTGAAAGTTTTATTTCGATCGGATAAATATTGAAGGAGAGAGAC